GTACAGCTCTTGTAGTAGTTATTATAGTGCAGTCTATTATAGCTAGGTACTACCTAATGCAGGTGCTAACTATAGGCTTACAGAAGGCCTTAACAATTTATAGGTTCTTTATTCTCTCTTTATACTAAGCTTTAGCTCTATAGAATAATAATAGTATAACGTAAGTTATAACTACTTTGCAAAGAGACGTAGTAGGTAGGCTATAGGTAGTATTTACAAGACTTTAAAGGTAGTAAGAGATCTTTTAAGCAACTACTACCTATTTAGTAATATAAGTTTTAAAGGTTAGCTTTCTATTAAACTAAACCTCTAGCTAGCGCAAAGCTGTCTAGCTACTATTTACTTTAGAGAGAATAGCGTAAATTTCTTAGTTATTAAGCTAGATAAGAGAGGAAAGCAGGCCTTGTTTTCTTGTTAGGTAAATTAGCTTAGTCTTCTTAGAGGCGAACGTAATTTTGTTTGCTACTCTCTATTTATTAATAGACTTTAAATTAGAAGCTAGTAACATAGTACTCTTGTCTAGAGAATAGGCAGTTCTATAGATATAGATATTATTAGTATACCTAAAGCGCAATTATTAGTTCTAGTTTAATAGTTTAGCTAGGTAGAGAGTATAAAGAACTAGCAATAGTAGTAATTCTTAGAGTATTCTACAGCGTATAGAGTAGGCTAGAGTAGTAGCGTTTTCTAGCCTTACGCAGATAGTTCTGTTAGATAAAAACTTTTAAATAAGCTTTCTAAGAATTAAAGGCTAGCTCTACTCTTTAAGTTATTAAAGAAACTAATTCTTAAGTAGTATATTAAATGCCTCTTAAACGTCTATAGTAGCTATAGACATATACTTATACCTAGACTAGGCTGTCTCTACGTTGTAGATAAAAGAGGTAACTAGGTCTATAGCTAAGCGCTTAGGTAGCGCACCTTTATACTATAAGCTAAGAATATTGTATGCTATAGCGATGTAGGCTATCTACCTCGCGATAATTTAGTTAAGACTCTTACCTATGTATAACGTAAGAGTAATAGGTCTTATTAAGTAGAGAGAGAACTTGTCTTTCTTTCTAATCTTTAGAATTATAGCTACCTTTGTGTTGCTCTATATATCTCTATAATAGGCCTTAGTAAAACATCTTTAGTAAATAGCGTGCATAAAGTGCTTAATATACAACTAGCATACTTTAAGTAATTAAATAGTAATTCTGTTAGGCCTAGAGAAGGTACTAGAGACGCTAATTATACTCTTTTTAACTTCTTCTATTAAAACGTAAGTGTTCTAGAGCAAACACTTATTAGGCAACTTATCTATAAGAGGCAGAGGCTTAGAGAGGTTATCTTCTGCTAAAAAGTAGTCTAGTATAGCCTTCTATAGAGCCTTAGCCTTCTCTAAAGGTATAGTAAAAGTTTAGCTATTAACAATTAGTAGAGTATCTATTTAGTTGTATATTATCTTATGCTATCTAACTAGCCTGTAAAGGTCTTAGTTAGAGGCATAGAAATTAATATAGTGTTGCTAGTACCCTCTCTTAGCCTTTCTAACTCTAGTAAGGAATACTCTAGTAGCGTTAGAGAGTAGCTCGCTGTTAGAGGCTTTGTTTCTAATATAGACTCTGTGCAAGGCCTAGCACTTATCTATCTACTAGGGCGCTAAGTAGCCTAATTTATAGGCTAGCTTGCTAGCAACTTTAATAGCGTTATTTATAGCTTTAGTAACGTTTACTATACTATTCTTAATTTGTTGTACTATTAGGTCGCAGCTAATAGGCCTAAGGCTAATAAGATTTAGTTTAACTAGCCTAGTAAACTAGAGTAAGTTGCAGTTAGAGACGCGATAGTAATACTATTCTAATACCTATTAGCCGCGGCTAGGTAGAATAGTTACTAGAGTATTATAGTTAGATTCTAAATACAGAGCAGCCTGCACTAAAGTTCTAGCAAAGAGAATGTTTAAAAAGAAAACGTTAATAATATGCCTAGCGCGATAAGTAGGCTCTCTAGGTTCTCTAATAAAAGAAAGGTTATTCTAACTAGCCTAGTAGGCGACCTCTAATCTACTATGCGTAGTAATAGACTCTAGCTTAAAGAGTTCGTAATAGGCGTTTAGGTTCTCTCTAATAAGACAATTAGAAGAGAGGGTTAAAGAGACTAAGTAGTGTAATGTTAAGTTATCTAGAGGTTGTTAGTAGAAATTTAGAATAGAGTACTTATTAACCTTAACCTACAAGAGGTCTCTACTAAGGCAAGACTAAATAATATTAGCTTTAAGGCTAGAGACTTTTTAGATATAGGTTAGAACCTGCAGGTAGTTACGTTTCTAGGTCTTAGAGTTGTTCTAGCTAATTACTAGAGAGAGTATATAGTAGCCTAGGTAAGTAGAAGTCTAGGTACTAGTTATAGTAAAAGGTTCTTAAATATAAATAATATTAATTTTAGCGTTCTAAGCAAGTTAAAGAGTAGAAATATAGTAGAGTAAGCTTCTAGCTACGTTAGACTAGTAGATTTAAAGCTAGCTATTATAGTTCTATAGGCAATTACTATTATTATTTAAAGGCTATCTTAATATAAGTTTAAATTAGTACTTATTTTAGTGTCTGTATATTCTGTTAAGAAAGAGTTAGTATGCTTAGAGTCTCTAGGCCTAAAGCTTTTAGTAGAAAGTTAGCAAAGGCTAAGGTCTTATGTTAGCGCCGCTAATTATTATAGCCTAGAAGATTCTAGTGCTTTAGACTCGCTTATTAATTTCTGCCTAGGCGCAGTGCCTGTAGAACAGCCTTTCTTATTAGCACTTGCTATAGCAGTGCTTTGTACTAGAGAACTAAGTATATTGTTAGTAGTAATATTAATAGGTGTTTCTTTAGAGGCGCCTATTAGCAGCGTTGTTGTAACTATAGTAGCTGCTAATATCGCGCGTTAACTAGACTACCTTATAGTTGTTAGCATTCTTTTTATAGAGTATACTATTTGCCTATTAACTTATAATAGAGCTGCTAGATAGTTAGAGTAGGTAGCCTTATAGAGGCTATAGCAGTTAGAGCACCTTAGTGTATTCTAGTAGCCTTTAATTAGTTCTTTGTATATAGCTATAAGCTTACTATATCTAGAATAGTAGGCTGCCTTTATGTAGTTTATAATCTTGCAATACTCTTAATAGCTAGAGTTGTACAGCGAAATAGGTAGGTTTTTTTAGATTTTCTTTAAATAATTGCTCTAGCTAAATAAGCAGAAAGCGCGAACTAGAGTAGAGAAAGAAATAATCTACGTAATTCTTCTGTCTTTCTAAAGGCTATGCTATAATAGTTAGACGCTTATAGGTTGCACTCTAGTCTATAAGAGTGCCTTATTGTAAACTTTAGTTAGGTAGGTAGAGATAAGGCTACCTATAATTAATCTATAGTAGCTATTAACGCCTTAGACTGTATAGTTAACCTAGCGCTTAGAAAGCCTAGCATCTTTGCTCTTAACTACTCTAATTATAAGTTTGCGCAGTTCTTAGTTTATAAGATAAGCTTTAACATCTTTATTATAGAGTGTAATAGCCTAACTAGTTTTTGTAGCCTTAGCCTAGAGTATATTAGATAGAGTAATTCTATTTCTAACAGCCTCTATAATAGCCTTACGTGTAGCAAATAGAGAGGCTTATTGCATACGTGCTACTAGCCTAAGAGTAATAAGAATATAATTATCTATAGGTAGTAGACAGGCTGCAAAGCGTAGTGCTAGCTTTGCTATTAGTGCTACTTTTGTCTTAGCAGCGCCTCTTTGCAGAGGTGTAGAATTTTTTAAAGTCTTTACTATATCCGCCTAGAAGTAGTAGAATAGGCTAGTAGAGGCCTTAGTGTTACTTCTAGAGGCTAGCGGAGAGTTAAACAACAAGTAAATAGCTTTTAGTACCTGTTTCTAGAGTTCTCTAGCAATAGAGAGCTAGGTAGAGTTAGTAAAATAATCTAGACAGCTGTTAACAGCTGCAGCTAAGTTCTAAATAATATTATAGCAAGTTTTAGTAGCCTTTTAGTCTACCTAAATGCGCTAGCGAATAGCGTCTAAGATAGCTTAGTGTCTTAATAGCGTGCTCTTACTAATAGAAGCTGTAGCGCGATTAAGTTTACGCTGTTATCTCTTATTAGAGGCACGTAAATTCCTGTAAGCTAGGCTCTTAGAGTTGTCTTGTTAAGTTTAGAGAGGCTGCACTAAGTGTAGCAAACTCTTAGGCGTAGCTACATTAGCTATTCTAAACTGTCTATGCGCAAGCGTAGATATTTAGTTAGCTAAGGTAGTTAGAGGCTGCTACTGTAGATTAATTAGTGCAAAAATATTAGTAAAAAGTTAGGGTCCTAGAATCCTGAAAAGTTAGTGTTCGGTGGAGTGGATACTGTAGCATAGCCGACAGGCGACAAGGCAACCGCTTTCTAAGAAACTATCCTGGGATAGGAACTACAGGTTCATGCATAGCCTCACATGACGCTAGCACCAGCCTTGCGCCTCGATGTGCGGCGTTGCCTTTGTATGCAAGCCCCCGGCTTAGTGATGTGGTGACAGCGCACCACGGCGGCTAATAGGCTAGCGAACGACGAACCAACGTCGTACCTGCCCCTCCATCGCAGAGTATCCATATTGCGGTTATCGCGCAGTCGTCCTTTGTGGTTCACCGGATAGTTCTCAGCTCCGCGATGCCCCCACGTTTTGACTTGCGCGCATCTCATCGCGGGGCAGTGCATGCAGCCCAAGTGTCATGACACAGCTTGTTTTACTGAAGGTTTATGCAGCCACGCGCTGAGTTGGTATAGACTGTGCCACACTAGATGATATCTGGAGACGAGAAGATCTGAATGTCTGAAAGTTCACGCGGATGCAGCTATGGAAACCCTACGTCATTGCAAGTCTAGCGATGGCTACACGATACATTCCTCATGGCTAAGCTTGCCATGGAGTGGAAGTATACTCGCCGTAGACTGATGGATACATGAGAGAAGATAATCGGATTTTAATTCAACCTGTCTCCTCTATCAACGGTAATTGGAATCGCCGGTCGGGCCAGTGTTATGTGAAGGGGTTCTGAGAACATGCTGGCCGTATGGCGGACCAGCAGAATGTGGAATTCTTCGCATCAGAGGCTGAGGCTGTGGTGGTGGAACACGCACCATCCCAGTAGGATCGCTGGACACATCGTGAGGCAAGACGTGATAGCAACTGTTATGTGCGTACGGGGCCACAGGCGTATACGAATGAGTGTGATACGGCGTATACATTGGAGACGCCGAGTCTTCCACATCGCTCTCATACTCGTTTTCTGATACATCGAGGGAGCCAGGCTCGTCGGTCTGTTGATCCTGGAGGTATTGCGGAGTAGTGGAGGACTGTTTTGGGTGATCATCCGAGGATGTGCGCTTGATATTCGGTCTACCACTCTGGAGACCCTTTGACCGGCTCCGCTTCCAGGCTTTTGAGCCAGTCTTCTTAGAGACCTTTGGATCTATGGGCATGGAGTCGGCTCGACGTGGTGGTGGTATGATATCTCCAGCGGGTCTTCCAGCCAAGAACTCTCGCATCCACGTAAGGACCTCTTTTGGCCGTCTCTCCTTTGTCTTCTCTCGCACATCTAGGTCTCGTTCTTTGGCTTCTGCTAATTCCTGCCTGGCCGCTTCGATTCGTTCGATACCTTCACGGTGTGCAAGGAGTCCTTCAACACGCTGCTCTTCTATCACTCTTTTCAGCCCTTGAACCTCATACTCAAGCTCGAAAATGCGCGCGGAGTTGTTCTCATGCACGGTCTCCTCCGCCTGGTCGTTGTGACCTATGCTACACGATGCCACCTGCTCATTTCTCATGTCTTCGAGTGTGACGGAAAGACTCTTTTGATCAATTGCGATGTTGTCGACCAGGCGAGTGAAGTCTTCAGCTTGCTCGAAGAACTCGCTTCTAAGGTCCTCGTCATCCTCAGCCTCCTCCGCACATTGCTCTAGCTCCCGCTTTTGAGTCTCGTACTTCTCGCGTGCATTGGCCAGTTCACCGTCTATAAATCTTCCTGCTGTCGTGTCTTCGAGTTTTGTTGCTACGCCTCGTCGCATCTCGCGCTGCAATTGCAGACTGACCGTTCTCCATCTATCTGCTAATGACTCGACAATCCGGATGCCGCTGTAGGTATCGCCTTGGTATTGCTCCATCCTAGCTCCACCTCTTATCATGTTTCCAAAGAACTCAGGTCTTTCCCCCATCATGTTTTCACGCATCGTTGCGGCATCATGCGCTTCCTTCGTCTTCAGCGAGTTCCACATCGTTGTGACAATCACAACGTCCTGAAAGTTTCGCTCGCCGCAGATCTTTTCAAATATCCGGAGGCTCTTGAGTGAAGATCCCGACATTCTCATGTCTGTTATCCGCTGAACATAGATCATTCCTCCGATCGGGATACTGTGCCCATAGCCATCGCAGTAGGTACAGATGAATGAAGCAATCTTTCGAAACACTGCTGCATATTCCAAATGAGTGTCGTCAAAGCCTGGCGTGTCAATCAAATACACTGTTTGGCCGTTGTTTCGCTGCAATGTCTGGAATACGACATCAGTGGTACCTTGAGATGATTAGGTCGATATTTCCATCATTCAAGACGAACATACATGACTTTAGCGAATGCCCGATATCTGCACTCTTCTGTGTGACTTGCGAGATGAATGTGCTTTTGCCAGCCCCAGTGAGGCCCATAACGAGAATGCCAATCGCTCTAGCGACAGATCAGACAACGAAACCGGACGGATGGTCAGTTCATACCGAGAAGAGGGCGCATTCTGGTTGAACCGCGTAACTGTAAGCGCTGTAGGAGGAAATGTGCTGGATGAACTTCCATATGAGCGGATCGGGTTCAGCGCATCGTGACTTCCCCTCCTAGTCGGCGAGATGTTGAGAGCGCTCATACTGCGCACATTACACTGATGTGGTTTTCGTAACAGGAATTTGCGTTACAATGAGGCAATGCGATGACAGTAGACGCAAGCGCATCCAAAGCTGCCAAGACGGGCAGGCTACAGTGCTGCCGACTCTAGCTGTGATGCTGATCTTAGCTGATGCGGCCTGCAGGCGGAATCGCGCACGGACAGTATCTAGGCGCAGAGGCGTACATGAGGATTGCCTGCAGCACAGCAGTTGCGGTAGCTTTGACGTGTACGTTGCTGATTGGTGGTTTCCATGCGACAGGCAGGTGGGCTGTACAACCTTGCTGCAGGATTGCATTCAGCCGCATCGAGAGCTGCTGCGGCGTAACAAGGCTATAGAAACGTGATTACTGGACAATATCCCGACCCAACCGTACACGTTGATTTGCGACTTGGTACAGTCACCCATCGTTCCACAATGGAAACCGTGAATCTTGAAGGCTCGAAGCCAGTTGAGTAGGTGGACTCCTGTGATACAATCGCAAAACTGACTTGGCCTGGCAGCCCCGATGACCTTTTCGTCGCAGTCATGGGCATGACTGGTGCTGGCAAATCTACCTTCATCGAACATTGTACCAATTCTCTAGAACGCCTTTCCGGACATGGACTGGCATCTTGTAGGCTTCTCGACAGCGCTGAAGCCTAAATGATTGTTGACACCAATGAATAGGTACAAGCCAGGTATCGATACACACCACTAGCGTACTCGGAAAAACGGTTCATCTGATAGACACGCCCGGCTTCAACGATAGTCGGCGATCCGATGGAGAGACACTACAAGAACTGGCATACTGGTTAGCAGCCGCTTACGAAAGAAGGATCAAACTCAGCGGAATCGTTTACCTTCATTGCATCACAAACAATCGCTTACAAGGGTCCGCGGTGCGTGCGCTGAGTGCCTTTAAGAGCATGTGTGGAGAAGACGCATTTTCTGGGGTGGTCGTGGCAACTACGATGTGGGATAGGGCTACCACAGATGAGCTCGTAAAGGCGGAATTGCGACACGAGGAACTCCGCGGGAAGATCCAGGATGTTATACACCACGGCGGTAAACTAGTCAGGCTATCAGCTGTAGATATAGATGCAGGAAAAATACTTCAACACATCGTGGGAAAAAGCAGGAGGCTAACACTGGCGTTCCAGCGAGAGTTGGTAGATGAGAACCAGCTCATCCATGAGACGCGGGCCGGTCAAGTCTTGTTTGAGGATCTAAAAGAATCGTTCGAGACATTACAAGCCAAGATTGACGATGCGCGTGGAAGATTAGCCAAGATGGCTCATAATTCCCGGAGAGACGAGTTGCACGAGCTTCAAGATGCCATCATCGAGATGGATGCGAACATGCGGTCCGTGGACGAAGACATGGAGCGTACGAAAGTAAACCTCCGCGACATCCGGATGGTATGGGACAAGAATCTTGCACGAGATGATAAAACGATTCTGGCGAGCGCGCAACTTATCGAGCGGCGATTGGAGACCGAGCGTCGTCAGCAGGAAGTCAGAAATGATGCCCAAACACCTTCAACCGACGACGGCTACGAAGCCTCAAGTGCAGGATTTTCTTCAGCAAGTACACTGCAAACCTCGCAAAGCTACATGTCGCTCAGGTTAGAACAGCTGGAGAAAGAACGCGACGCGCTTACGTATCAAATGGGCCAAAGACTGAATAGACGATACACGGCGGCGCATGGACGAGGGGCGACGAGGATAGGAGCCATAGGCGCTGGTCTAGCTGTAGCCCAGCTCGTCGTAGCAATGGCGTGCACGGTGATGTGAACAGCATGGGAAGTGTCAAGGAAGAAGGGAGCAAATGGGCTGCTCACACAGCGGCGAAATCGGGGACGCGCTTCACGCTAGTGCTGTTTTGGACAAGGCTCCACTTAGTTGGATCGCGCTTCGAGCTCGAAAACACCACGCAGCCTCCAACACCTTCCTCATTGATTCGAGCATCGCGTTGCTTTTCGAGACTGATTACACGATACCACGCGCAATACGATACGATGACAGAAGCGAGCGCTCTCAGTGGCGTCTGCGTCATCATGCACTTCGCGCCTCTCACGCGCCCTGCCCCTTCCCCACGCGATCAGTATGCTACACCTCTACCTCGCGAAGGCGCACGTTCTACCTGGCGTTATCGCGATCATGCGTAGAGCAAGATCGGCATTGATGAAAGCGATAATGCGTGGTCGATGTGTGAGGAAGCGTCTCTTTGGGCAGTAGATTCCCAGCACTACTACATTTTCCATTCACTCTACTAACCACACAATTGTCCGTGCATTTGCGTTTCATCGACAGAAGAGGAAAAACACTGGGCGACCTCACTAATTGTATGCACAATGGCTTACAGGTTCATACGACCGGATCTTCCTGTTTAACATCAAATCACAACCACTCAACTTAATTCACCCACAACATCCGAGTATGGCTCCAGTTGTACATGAGATCGATCCAGACGCGGATACAGTCATAATCTTACGATCACCGGGTGATGGTGAATACTTCGCTTGGTGGGATGATTCACCGTTCGACAACCTTGACATACTTGATCAACTCCCTTTCACCAGTCGCCTGCGAGGGCGTTCATCACGAAGGAGTCGGATTGGGTAATCCTTAATGTTCCTGAGGGATCTGTCCTTTACCTTGTCTCTTCGCGCCATCTCATGCTGGCCTCACCGGTCTTCAAAGCAGCGCTCTCACCTGGTACCTGGAGTGAGGGATGCAAGCAGGCCGACGGTCGCTACCATATCACAGCAGACGATTGGGAGGAGGAAGCATTTCTCCTCTTCATGAACATGCTACACCTACGCAGCCCTCAGATCCCGAAGACTGTGAGCCTCGAACTAATGGCGAAGCTGGGGATCCTCATCGACTATTACAACTGCGCCAGTGCGGTGGAATTCTTCACTGCGGTGTGGATGAACAAAATCTATGGTGATAAAATGGAGGGTGAATACTGCCGCGAATCGATACTGCTGCTTTGGGTTTTCTATCTCTTCGGGAGCAAAGATTGTGTCGCTCTCCTTGTTGAGATAATGACTTTCTACTGCAACGAGAGCAAACTGCGCACCTTGGGACTTCCCATACCCCAATCTTTGTCAGGTAAGTGGGCGATATAGTTCTGAGACACATGTAGTTTTCTAACTCGCGGTAGATGAGATCGAACATCGGCGACATGAGCTCATCAACAAGAAGCTGTCATATCTGCATTATAAACTGACAATGAACCCCAAGCCGAATGCACACCTGCCAGATAGATTGCGAGAGACACTGAGGCGAACTATCGGTGGGCAAAGACGTTCAAGCGGATATCCCTATCTCGAGGTCACTGTGGTGGCACTTGAAAGGGTCCTTCTTGACTACTCTCAAGAGCAAGTGGAGGCTATACTCGAACTCGAAGCCACTCGTATCGAGTGGTTCCGCGCAAACGGCTTCGAGCTCTGCTGGAACAATCACGAGCTGAGCTATGAGTAGAGGACACTAAGAATCAGGTACGAGGATGCTATGCGTCTCGCGGAGCTTTGGGAACAAAGCTATTTTTCACACATGTGGCTTATCGGCAGCATACACATCGGTACAATGTGCTGGAGGCTTCAGAATGGCAAGTCTCTGGAAGTAACGATGGAGTCAATGAAAGGCAACGACTGATATCTTGATATATGTCCCAGGGAGTTCGGTCCTCATAGGCGGGCCGTTCGCAATATTAATCTGGTGTTTATCCGCCCGATATTTGCGACGATCTCAGTATATCATACTTGCGACTTCTCTCATTTGCGACTTTCTCAGCTACGGTCCCTTCCAGGATGCAGGTGGCGGCGAAGATCATAGAAACCCAGATTGCTCGCAATTACCAAACAAGATCTCGAATGCAGGTGACATGCTCTAGAGACCAATACTACATTGTTACCGGAAGGTGCTCGTATGTGCCTTGCATGAACTGTGGCCGAGGCAGTGGTCCGGCTATAACGCCAACCCAAGTGGGCGGCCCTAGCCCGGTGCTAACGAGCGCGCACAGAACAAGATCCACACGTCACAACCTGTCACAACCACCCATGTGGGGTCATCGGTCATGTTATCGCAACGCCACGGCCAAAACAAGAAGGAGGTTATCCGGCACACAAGCCTTGTCAAGAGCCCCAGTCCGAGGCTTGTCTTTCTTAGCCCCTTGCTTGGACACTGTCGGTTCCATTCAACGCATCGCGTATGCGCACCACGACATGAGCGACAATCGCAATCTAAACTCCATGGGGTAGGTCGGTAATAACACGACTATCATGCAGGGACTGGAGTCGACCGTGGGTGCGGTATAAAACTACAATGCAGTCCGCTGTTCGTTGTCTCTTCATCCGCATTCGCTTCGGACTACCTTCGCTCAAGGAAACCGGTTGTGGCAAAGATGGCTCCTGTGCTTTCATTCATCGTTGGCTCGCTGTTGGCTGTTAGGGCTTTCGCCGAGCCGTTTGAGAAGCTCTTCGAAGTTCCTGAGGGTGAGCTTCATATTCTATCGAGCCATGAGCTATGCTAATGATCGACAGGATGGAAGCTTCAGGGCCCAGCATCTGATGCACACACGCTCAAGCTCCAGATCGCGCTCACGCAAGGCGATACCGCGGGCTTTGAGCAGACCGTCATGGACATCTCGACGCCTTCGAACCCAAAGTACGGCCAGCACTATGAGTCGCACGAGGAGATGAAGCGCATGCTTATGCCCAGCGAGGAGACTGTTTCGTCCGTCTCTTCGTGGCTCAAGTCTGCCGGTATCGAGAAGTTCGAGACCGATGCCGACTGGGTGACCTTCAGAACCACTGTCGGTGTTGCCAACGAGCTCCTCGGAACGAAGTTCTCTTGGTTCGTTAGCGAGGAGAGCACACCCCGCAAGGTTCTCCGCACCCTTGAGTACTCCGTCCCTGACGAGATTGCCGACCACATCAACCTCGTTCAGCCGACTACTCGCTTCGCCGCCATCCGTGCGAACCACGAGACTGAGCGTGAGATCTTCGGTATCCAGCTCGCTTCTTCCCCCAACATCACTGTCAACTGTGATGCATCCATCACCCCCCAGTGCCTGAAGCAGCTCTACAAGATCGACTACACTCCCGACCCCAAGAGTGGCAGCAAGGCAGCTTTCGCTTCCTACCTCGAGGAGTACGCTCGCTACAGCGACCTCGCCCTCTTCGAGAAGAACATCCTTCCCGAGGCTGTTGGCCAGAACTTCTCCGTCGTCCAGTTCAACGGTGGTCTGAACGACCAGAGCTCCAGCGACGACAGTGGCGAGGCCAACTTGGACTTGCAGTACATGCTCGGTCTGGCGCAGCCCCTGCCCGTCACCGAGTACAGCACCGGCGGCCGTGGCCCATGGGTCGCTGATCTCGACCAGCCGGACGAGGCCGACAGCGCCAACGAGCCCTACCTCGAGTTCCTCCAGAGCGTGCTCAAGCTCAAGCAGAAGGACCTTCCCCAGGTCATCTCCACCTCCTACGGTGAGAACGAGCAGAGCGTGCCCAAGTCATACGCTCTCAGCGTCTGCAACCTCTTCGCCCAGCTCGGTAGCCGTGGTGTCTCCGTCATCTTCTCCTCCGGTGACTCTGGTACCGGCTCTGCCTGCCTTTCCAACGACGGCAAGAACACGACCAAGTTCCAGCCCCAGGTAAGTTCTGACTGTACGGAGTGCATGTAAGACATATACTAATTTCGTACCAGTATCCCGCTGCCTGCCCGTTTGTCACCTCTGTTGGTTCTACTCGCTATCTCAACGAGACTGCTACTTTCTTCTCCTCCGGTGGCTTCTCCGACTACTGGAAGCGTCCCTCGTACCAGGACGATGCCGTGAAGGCATACTTCCACCAGCTCGGCCAGAAGAACAAGCCATACTTCAACCGCCACGGACGTGGATTCCCCGACGTCAGTGCTCAGGGCTTTGGCTACCGCGTCTACGACAAAGGCTCCCTCAAGGGCTACCAAGGAACGTCTTGCTCGGCCCCGGCATTCGGCGGTATCGTCGCTCTTCTCAACGACGCCCGCCTTCGTGCCAAGAAGCCCGCTCTCGGTTTCCTGAACCCCCTGCTGTACTCCAACCCCGATGCGCTTAACGACATCGTTCTCGGTGGTAGCACTGGATGCGATGGCCATGCCCGTTTCAACGGCAAGCCCAACGGCAGCCCGGTTATCCCGTATGCTAGCTGGAACGCTACTGCGGGATGGGACCCGGTTTCTGGTCTTGGCACACCGAACTTCCCCAAGCTGCTTAAGGCTGCTATGCCCGCTAGGTATAAGGCTTAGATGAGCGGATGTGGTGTTCTGAGGGAGATGCGATAGATATAGATTTGGATAAACTATAATTGAAGCATTGAAGAACAACTGCATTGACCAATCGTGAAACCTGGAACGATCCATGGATGCAAGCCCCGAGTGGACTGGTAATGTGAGCTACTCGCCCTGTCATGATGAGGGACATCACCGAACCCTTCAATGCAGGGTTGTGGCTTACCTCATTCTTTTTGCTACTCTGCGATGAACCTTGAAATCTGCAGGGTCGTTCGTTCATCGTATTGGTGTTCTCGTCGTAGAAGCACGTGCAAGGCTGGTGAGGGCAGGCGTGGTTACATAAGCGGGGCACGAGCCATCTCAGCCGCTGGATGACGTAGAAGCTTCGAGAAACATCGCGAAGCTTCACGCGTCTTCCTGACAAACCTCGAAGCATCACCAATCGTCGCGCATCGTCTACACTCTTCCAGTATCGTCCTTGTCTTACGGGATCTGCATTGCTCATCACCGCGCACGCAATCGACTGCTGCCTGCGACGCCTCCATAATGACTATAAATCCATGTCTTCCTGCTCTCCAAGAGCCCATCATCAATTCGAAAGACAAACACATCTACAGATCTACGATCTACAGCTACCCTTGAGCTTCACTACTCTACTACTCTATATTTCTCATCGACCAACAAGCCTCGCTTCTACCAAGTACCCCAGCAATGGCGTTCATCCTCACTCCACGAATGGCACCCACCTACGAGGCACAGCAGTGCAACCCCTTCGGCTTCTGCGCCCCGGTATCACGACCCGCCCACGGCTACCGCATCTCTCGTCCCCAGCCTCGCCGCCCACAATACTCACCCTACAACAACTTCTTCAGCCAGGTCGACGAGCTCCTGAGCGAGATCGACCGCGAGGCACAACGCGAGGCTCAGCGCAAGGCCCAGATCGAGGCCCACCGAGAGGCGTTACGCGAAGCTTACCGCCAGCGACAGCTACAGCGCAAGCGCGCACTTCGAGCCGACTTCCAGGTCAACCAGGTCGAGCAGGGATGGCAGGTGGATGGAGATATCCAGGGCTTCGAACAGGACAACATCAACATTGAGGTCATCGATGAGCACACACTGAAGATCGCTGGTAACACCCAGTGGCAATCCGAGAAGTCGCAATCTCAGCCACAGCTACCTCAGATCGAAGCCCAGGCCACACCTGCCCCCAGCATTGAGCACCCCACCACTACACAGTCAGAGCCAGAAGTCGACACCACCACCGAGACCGAGGCACCTACCACTCGCGCCGCTACACCCGAAAGCGACACCTCATCGCATAAGTCATACCAGCCCACCGTCGAAGACGACTTCGAAGACCTCGCCGCTGACTTCCCATCGTCTCGACCATCATCTCCCACCGAGCCTCGCGAGCCCAAAGGCAAGGAGAAGGCCGTCGATGAGTCCAACAACACTGAGACCGCCGTGGTAACCCAGCCACAGCCCGAGGTACCGGTCCAGCAACCCCAACAACAAACCCAAGAGCAGTCTCAGCAACAAGAACGCGTCCACGGATCTTTCGAGCGCACCTTCAGGTTCCCTGAACGCATCGATGTCGCTAATGTGAGCGCTAGCTTCAAGGATGGTGCGCTTAAGGTGACTGTGCCTAGGGCGCAGGTGATGCAGGTTAGGAGGATTGCTATCTTATAGTGGAGGACAGGGATAAGTGAGGAGGAGTAATGGCAGAAGAGGGCATAGTCGCAAGGCATGAAGATATGGACAGCATATGCATGGACTGAATCAGGAATGGGTTTGTAAGATATTTGCACACGGTGCTTAGACATCGGTTATGAATCAATGATTGTTTAATTCAAACTTCTTTCCCATATCTCTCGTGTTTCTGCTGTTGTACACTAATACTACTCATTTCATCCACCACCACCACACTCCCTTCCCCACCTCCCCTTCATCCCAGCCTCCCGTCATGCATGCTGAACTGACCTACAGCATCAAAGCAACAATCCCCAAAGCAGCAACTACAACACCACCGGCCTCGCCGGCGCCGATAGCAACAGCTCCACCCGTGGCAGTGGATGTTGCCTGCGTCTCTGTGCCGGTGGTCTTCGCCTCGGTCTTGGTGGCCTCGGATGACGCTGATGCTGACATGGAGGATGCCATGGAAGATGCAGCGGATGAAAGCGCCGATGATGCGGAGGCGACGGGGTTGCTGGGTAGGGTGTTAGTACTGGTGAAGAGGTGACTGGGTCGGGAAGGAATGGGGTTGGCGGTGGTGTTGTAGAACGTTTAAAGCTGGGGAGGAGGCTGGTGGTGTTGTGTGGTGCATTGAAAGTTACTCACGATTCCGCTGCAAGCGCGAAGCCGGCGAGGGCGGGGAGGATGATTGTGGAGAAACGCATAATGCTGTTTGGTGTTGAATGCCTTGGTATCGTGTTGTTGCAGGTTTGATGACGATTTCTTGGTATGGGTATCTTCGCAGGTGAACAAGAAAGAAAAACCTACCTGTACAGCTCAGTCACGGCTTTATGTACACTACACCTGTCATCACCACATCACACGAAACCCCTGAGTTTGCGTTGTACATCATTCCAACACGAAACGGTGATACCATACACCACCACTAGCATTTGGTGCGTATACCCTCTCATGTACCCAAGTAGGATTGTCTCGAGGTTCATAGGTACGTATCGAGGTACCAATTCCTATAGCCGTTTTGGTGGAACTCACTATGTGGTACAAAAGGTACTGTCATGGGGAAAGTATGTGAATTCGCAAGCTTTGTGGCGGGTGATACCATGGAGCCGGGTGTAAATGGATTTGTCCTACAATGTGCGGATGGTATACGCGTTTTAGGCTGCTGGTGCGATTAAAACACCTCAAAGCTATTGCAATCATCCCGCATACCAAAGTACAACTTCGATGCCTAGCCCGGAAAGAAGACTGCACCTTCCTCTTAATCAACAGTATCCTACTTTCCGCGAGGATGATGTTGTCCATTTTGTCGCGAGATGTTTTGTGGTAAAGATTTGCTGGGCTTCGCGCTCAAGCCTGAATTCTTTTCGTGAATAACTCCCAAAGCTGGACCGTGAACATTGTTTGATAGTCTTCGGGGCGTGTGCATGAGATTTCTCGTCTTGCGCCTGTACCCAGGTAGTGGTCAAGGATGGAGATGACCATTTCAGACACACCATGCCAAACTAGCATTGTCGACTTGCCAACCCATCAATATGCACACCCAAACTTACTCGCGAAAATACTTTAGGCTCGAGTGCAGATGCTGGAAGGGGAGGGCTGAAGATACCTGGAAGATCTTGGGGTAAGGGAGGCCGCCCGCCCGCGACGAAGGGCGCTTGACAAAATTGGGCTAGCGTCAATCTGGACAAGCGCCGGCGATCTCTCGCTCTTCGCCCGCGATATCCGACATGAGCTCCTGCCATCGCTCCCCGCCTCCCCTTCATCAACACAGTTCATGCAGCTCATGTATATCGAAGTTCGTGCCGAGAGAATGCCGGCCGTGTGTTCGCACAGGAGAGTCCTTCAGCTTGCCACTCGTGCTGCCTATGGAGGCGCGCCTCGTCACATCAGGCGACCAATCTTTGCAGGGCTGAGCGAGGGAGGCGCAGGAGACCTGACATTCAGCCGCGTTTCGTCAACCTCCCACTTCACTTTCTCTCCTGTACTACTCATCGATGATCTCACCTGAGCGACGTACACCAACACATGGCCATGAGCAGTTCGCCTATTTATCCGCATGAATTGAGAGGATGTACGATCCGCCTGCTTACTGTCGAGCCAGACGAGCCATCGGCCCCGCTACGATGCCAACTATCAGAAACATGTCTAGACACGAATCCAACCCCGTATCAAGCTCTATCATACTGTTGGGGCGCAAACCAAAATCCGGTTCAGATAACATGCAACTCGCATCCTCTCCAAGTAACACCAAACCTACATTCTGCCTTGCACGAGTACCGCCGCAGAGGAACTCAAGCGCTTCTCTGGGTCGACGCAATATGCATCAACCAATCCAACACTTCAGAACGAACGTCTCAGGTCCGTATGATGGATAAGATCTACACCGAAGCGGAGTGTGTGATCGTGTGGTTGGGCGAAGCGCAAGCGACCGATGAGATGGCGCTAGAGTTTCTGAAAGTGATCCATGCCTACCGTGATGTCCAGAATCCACATCTATCGACCGACCAAGTTGTCTTCAACTTGGATGCACGTCTAGCGCCAATAGTTCCACAGAAATGTTTTGATGCATTGGCTGCGTTTCTTCTACGACCGTGGTTTAGCCGTATATGGATGTACGTATCACATGAGCTATTTGAGGCCCGCGTATGGTTTCAAGTCCAGATTAACATCTCCGCAGTGTTCAAGAGGTTTTGCTCGCACCTCAGGTGTCAATCTGGTGTGGCCCAACTACCGCGAACGAAGATTTCCCGGTTCTTGAAGCAATCACGCGATTGACGGGCATGCCAAATTGTGCGATGAAACTCGAGAACGTCATGCAGGTATTCAAAGACAAAAATGTGAGACGGGCGGCCAGTCGTAGGCTCCCATGCGCGAGTATGTTGTTCTTGATCAAAACCTCACGAGAGAACGCAGCGAGTAGTACCCTGTATCTCCTCAAGAGAACTATCTTGTTTGATGCGGCGGATCGGCGAGACAAGATATTTGCCCTTGTTGGTCTAGCAAGCGACATCGACGAAAGCTTTGTAGACTACTCCAAAACTTACAAGGATGTTATGAAGGACCTGAACATCATGCTTCTAGAAGGCAAGATTGAGCCCACCATGGGTAGTGTGTTGGATGTGTGGTCGTCAATCACACGGAAAGAGGACGACGAGATCGCAGAGCCAAGCTGGGTAGCGGATATTTTCGAGCCGCAGAGTTGCGAGGGCTTGTACACGCCTATCATGGATGTATATCCCTCTAACGAGCCGCTTATTGAACGTAAACCAGAGCTTCGGTTTTTGGAGGTGGATGGACAGAAGGCAAGGTTCACTTTCGATCCA